AGATGATTACAATCATTTTACTTGGATTTTCCCAATGATAAGCAAGTTTGATGTTTTAACAGATGTCCTAACTTTTGAAAAATATGTTCAAAGGCAATTTAGTCTGTCAACAAAACATTTAAGGTCTGACAATTTTCAAGAGTTTAGGTTAAGTGATTTTTATCTAAAAACTGAAATTGTTCATCAATTATCTTGTGTTAAGACACCTCAATAGAATAGGGAAGTCAAGAGAAAGTATCAACATATCCTTGTTGTTGCTAAGGCTTGTTACATCAATCAAGCATTCCATGTCACTTTTGATGGGATGTTGTACTCACAACAATACATTTTATCAATAAAGTGCCAAGTAGGATACTAGAGAATAAGTCACCCTTTGAATTACTATACCAAAAACAGGAAATCATATGATTATTTTAGAGTTTTCGATCCCTTTGTTTTGTGTCTACACTATCACAAAATAGAAACAAATTATATCAAGAAATTTTGTCTTTCATGAAAATGTATTCCCGTTCCAGTCATCTAAGCATAGCACACAATCTTCTGCATTTCATTAAACACTTAATGTGCATGCTAGTTATTTAGAAAATTTTGACTTTTACCAACTAAATTATCCCTTCCAAAATTAACCTATAGTTGAAACACATCTATCTAAACCTGGTTTTTTTTCCCAAACACCAATTACATCAAGCTCTCATGAGTTATTGAAAAATTCACCTAATATAGTTAGTTTGCCTACTACAGTTGACAGTATGTAACCCCTTATTGAAATCAGTAATGATCAAAACATCAATGATTTAGAAACAAATTTACAAACTAGAAAAAGTTCAAGGCTTATGCAAGTTCCAAAATACCTTTATGCATACTACATAGACTTGCCTACACACACAAATGCTGTTATTGATCTTTCTAGATCTAAACACTTGTCATCATAGCACCTATCACCTGCACATGAAGCATTCACTTCTTTAGTATCACAAATACATGAGCCAAGTTCTTATCATGAAGCCATTAATCTATCACAAATACATGAGCCAAGTTCTTATCATGAAGCCATTAATCATTCACATTAGAAAGAGGCCATGAGGCTTGAACTCAAAGCTTTGGAAGATAATGATACATGGAGCATAGTATCTAGGCTTCCCAACTCACATGTAATAGGATGCAAGTGGGTTTATAAAGTAAGGCTCAAAGCAAATGGACAGGTTGAAAGATATAAGGCAAGGATGGTAGCAAAAGGATATAATCAAGTTGCTGGATTTGACTACCAAGAAACCTTCAGTCAAGTTGCAAAATAAACCAAAATAAGAGTATTTTTTGCACTTGCAGTAGCATACAATTATTCATTGTCACACTTGGATGTGAACAATGCTTTCTTGCATAGAGATCTAAAAGAGAATGTGTACATAAAACTACCAAAAGGTTATTCTATTAAGGGGGAGTATCCTAGAGATTCCAACTTAGTTTGCATGCTACATAAGTCACTATATGGATTGAAACAGGCTTCCAGACAATGGAATGCCAAATTTTTAGCATCTGTCCTATAACATGGATTTCATCAATTAACTATAGGCTATTCTTTATTTACTAAAAGAACAACTAATGGAGATGTCATTGTATTACTGTTATATGTAGATGACATTTTGATTGGTAGGCCATCTACTAAGGTAGCAAGTTAAGTTAAAAGAGTTTTTGTGGAAACAATTCAAGTTAAAAGATCTTGGTGATGTCAAATTCTTCTTGGGACTTGAAATTGTAAGATCACCTAATGGGATTTCTATATGTCAGAGAAAGTATACTTTAAGGCTTTTGGAAGAGTATGGATTACTAGGTGCCAAGTCAGCTGCTACACCTATGGATTATAACCATAAGTTGAACAAGACTCAACAAGCATATAAACTAGCAAAACCTACAAACTACAAACAGCTCATTAGTAAATCACTTTTTTTAACCTTCAATAGACCTAACATCTCATATGCAATCCAAGTCCTATCTTAGTTCATGGAGAAACCTTCACTTAGACATTTGATGGTAGCTTAAGGAGTGTTAAAGTACTTAAAGGGCTCACCTGGACAAGGTATTAAAATGAAGTCCAAATAAAATTTGAGAATCAAAGCCTACTGTGACAATAATTAGACAGGGTGCCCTGATCCTAGAAGATCAATTATAGGATACATCATATTTACTGAGGATTCTCTAATAAGCTGGAAGTCAAAGAAGTAAGCAATGGTTGCAAGAAGTTCTGTAGAAGCAGAATACCGATCAATGGCTGCAACATGCTATGAAATCATGTGGATAAAATATCTGTTATCAGATTTTGGAATCAATCATGAAGGTGTTGTGGAGCTTTAAATAGAGAATCAATCAACAATATATATTAGTAGAAATCCCATACTTCATGAAAGGACAAAGCATATTGAAATGGACTGCGATTTTATTCGTGAAAAGGTGATAACAAAAAAAATCAAACCATTATATATTTCAACAAATCTGCGTATAGCAAATATGTTCACTAAGGCACTACAACCAAAGCAATTCTAAAACTTACTAAGCAAGATGAACGAGGACAATATCCACCGTTCTTCTTGAGGGGGAGTATCAAAAATGAAGAATCAATAAGTCCAAAGAATTCATAAATGGTTAAGAATCAAGTGAAAAAGAAGGTGAAGCAGGAAGCGAAGAGAAAGAAATCAAGACTCGACAGAATTGAAGCCATAGTAGGACACATGGTGCTGTGAACACACTGTTTCACTTAAACATAGCACTAAGGCATGATATATGTGAGACACACATCATTTCACTATTAAGCTGTTTTAAACTTTTATTAAGTTAGTTGATTCAAGTAAGTTTAAGGCTTAAATATGTTTTCTCTCTTTTTTGTCATCTTTTGTAAATGCTGTATATGTATAAACTAATAATTTCAGTATTGTACCCTATGAGGGAAATTATTCAATGAGAATAGTCAAATATTCTCTCACCTTTCTCTTTTGCGCCGCCTTTGCTTTATTCCATTTTTGACACAATACAAATACCTTATGAAGATTAAGGTATAACCTCTCTATCTTTTAAAGGTTTAGATGGAACTTCTAACATTAATTTTTGAAAACTAAGTTATAACGTCTCTCTCTCTCAAAGATTTGGGTATTTGATAATCTATACAAGTAAGAAAACCTTTAGGTAGATATTTTCGATTATGTACAAGATAATATCAAAGATAATTACAATGAAGGTTCAAATGATGTGAAAAACTTGATATGAAAACCTTGAAAGAATGTGAAGAATGTTTACTCGCATTGTATGTCTTGATTCTGCTCTTATTCTTCTGCGAAGAGGCCCCAAAGAATGTTTGCTCACCATGATCTCAATTATTTTGTATTTTGATCTCATTGGAAACATCAAAGCTTTTTATATCTAATAATTTGACAAAATTTGAATGTTCCTTTCAAAATAAGAGATAGTAGGAATTCTCCCAAGTTTTGTATAAGGGTACAAATATCAGCAGGATCACTTCTATGTGCTCAAATCAAGTGTCCTTATATAGGACAATCTCACAATCAAGTTGAGATTAAGTTCAACTTGATTCTAAGCAAGCAGGAAGTTTCGAATATAACATGACGCTTTTATACAAAACAAAATAAAGGGAAAAAGGGAGTTGTTTGCCAAAAAAAAAAAAGAAGACTTGCTTTCTCCTTTTTTTCTTGATCAAAAATGTGTCTTAAGCCAAAATAAATAAATAAATACAATCTTGCAGATCTCAACTTGCACTTGGATTTTTCGTTAAAAGTCAGCAAATGTCATGCAAAGTGAGTATAAATAAATAAAGAGAGAAAAGTTGCAATTAAGATACTGTTGGCCTCTTTTAAATAAGTGCATAGAACATCTTGGACCACAAGAAGTCACTATATTAATCTGCCCACCTATTTTCTGCAGTGTTTTTCATAACTAATATAAGCTCAAAAGGAAGAACCAGCAGATTAAGGCTGTCAGTAGATATCCCATGGATGTTGGCACTTGAAATCCATCTTGACAAGTACTAGAATATAACTCTTTGACAACTTGATTTTAGTGAAACTTTTCATTATCCACAACTGAATCAAATATTGACCCATCAATTTTTCATTTCTGCCAAGAAATGGCAAAGAAACTAAATAAACATCAGACTACATTCAAGTACAGTAGATCTATTTGAAAGCCAGATTATTCATCAGCTATTCTTGCAAAATAGGAATTGATGTTGAAATTCTGTTTCACCAATTTGTTGAGCAACAGTGACTGCACACTATTGATTATGTGAACCAGAAGCCTCTGCTACTGAAAACCAGACACTAATTAGGGTCAGAAACTGTTTATTTAGAATTATTTTGGGTGATGTGTGTAACTGAAGTGGTTGTTGAGTCATCAACTCCATAAACAATCTTTACTAATTAGAGACATGGAGAAAAGGCATCTAGTGCCAAACCTCCCCCCTCCATTCCTTACGTCAGAAGGCTCTATTGGTTCAAGAGCATTTTGAGTAAAAACCCAATTCTACATGAACTTTGCTTGGAAATAACACACCCCCACTTTAAAGATTGACTTTCTTGAATGCCCATTTTTCCCCTTTGCTTTCTTTAGCCAAAACATTTCCCCCATTAAAATAATTATACTCCCCACAACACAAACTCTATCTCTCTCACTGATGTAAGCAGAATTCGATCTGAAAATGATTATCCACAACACAATTTGCATTCCCTGTTCATGTATGTGCGTGTGCAATCATGCATGTGAGTAAACATGATCTAGGTACCACATCTATAAGTGCACAAATTTATGTATATTTAGCGTCTGATATGCGCTCATCTATGCAAAAATATGGACATGATCTGCATGATATTCAAGAGGTCTAAGCTTTAAGTAACTTTCACACTGGTGCTCTTATTTGCCAAGAGTGGGACCATCTCAACCTTTTCCCACGCTATAAGAACCTCCCCTCCTTGAGCTTCCTTTCCCCTTCCAAACAAGAGCTTAGGTAATTCATCTTCTCCTCCAAGATTTAGCCCCCTTTTTTTCCTGGTCCAAGACATGCAGCCTAGTGAGGTTTCAGGACTCCACTATCTATTTCCTTCCAATCCAACCCCATATTCAGCGCATTTTGGCATGAATCATAGCAACACACCCACATTTGAGTTGAACAGATTCTCAAATCCCCTGTATAATTTCTATATCCCTCCTCAATTTCACGAAATCAATCCCCATTCATCATGTGTTAGCAGCAACTCGACTTCGGATGAAGCAGATGAGCAACAACTAAGTCTCATCAACGAGAGGAAGCAAAGGAGGATGATATCTAATAGGGAGTCTGCACGTAGATCACGTATGCGCAAACAAAGGCACTTGGATGAGCTCTGGTCACAGGTAGTTTGGCTCCGGAATGAGAACCACCAGCTTATAGATAAGCTGAACCATGTTTCAGAGAGCCATGACAAGGTTCTTCAAGAAAATGCCCAGCTCAAAGAGGAAGCCTCTGAACTTCGTCAGATGCTCTCTGACATGCAATTGAGTAGCCCTTACTCAACCTTGAGAGACCTGGAAGATATCGCCCTGGAACATGGTTTATCTGAAAACTGAGTCCTAAACCTGTTCATCACAAATTTTATTTAAAAGCTAGGCCAAGACAGAGGCAACGGTCCTATTTTTCCGTTTTCCCTTTTGGTTCTTCTGATAGGCGGAAGTCAACCGGTCTGTGCCTAGCTTTAAGATGTATGAGATTTAAGGAAATGAGAATAACATGTTTTGGGAAATTTCATTTAAATCCTCGATTATAGTCTTTTTGATCTCTAGCTACGCTTCCCCCACTCCCCTTCCCCCGGCCCAGCTTTCCTGTTGGTTTTAATCTCTCCCAAGTTTAAATTATATTTCCTATAAGTCTCAATATATAAGAATTGAAATATGTTGATTGTTGTTTTTCAGGTCGGTTTTTATATTCATGTCGTCTCTCTCCACCTATTACCTATTACTAGTTATATTAACAGCTCATATGTAGCAAGATACATGACAAATGTTGCTCCAGTAACCGATAAAAATATACCAGAAAAAAGCTTGATAAATATATGCAGGGGAAGCAAAATTCTATGCGCTATAATATTACACGGGAGTACTAGCTCCATCAGGTTTACTGCATAAGGAGACATGAGTGGCATCAGGTGGGGGGAGAGTAGGACATGACATAGAAAGAAAAGGTCGTGCGGTGGGGGTTGGTTCATAATACAGAGGCTACCTTAAAAAGTAAGACTGAGATTTCCAATTAATACCATGCACTGTTCAATTTAATTTCTCACCTGTAGTTTTCACAGGTACAACACACCTTGTATTTTTTGGCCCTACATCATAAACTGCATCTCTTCCTCTACAACACGTTATTGCTACAACAAGACATGGTTTCTTCTCTCTGATTTTTTTTCAACTTTTCTTGAAGATTCATCAAAGTCTTGTTTTTGGACGTCTTGCAACATCTGCAGATATTTTTATTAAAACCATGATTCAAGTTATAAAATCTTCATGCATCGAGTTTCATCTCCTCATGATCATGTCTAGATACAATTGTATATTAATTTGATTCCCATCAAGATTTATGCAATTGCGAAGACAAGAGTTCACTTTAGCCACCAATATCCCAAGTTTGTACAACCACTGTTCTAGTCAGGCGGTAAGATGCTAATTCACATTGATGGGGAATTGCGATCCCGAGTCCTATTGCTTGAAAGAAAAAAACCCAAAAGTTCATCCCTGCACTACCTTTTTCACCCCTTGTTTTTGTTGCTTTTTCTTTTTCTCGTTTGTTTTAGTATTGTTCCCTTTTGTTTATCAGACCGAGAAAACACGCTCTAGCAGAACACAAGGAAGGAGTTCTAACAGAAACTTACAATCTGAAAAGATTAAAGATCATTATGAATGAGTTTCCAATTAATGCACAAAAATATCCAGTCCCAAAATTTGTCTTCTGTTCTACATCGTCCAAATACATAATTAGCATAAAGAAGTCACCACAGGCTTGTTGCCTCAAAGGTATTCAGGGAGGAAAACAAGGTTATCCATAATAATTTGGAGGCTTCAGAATGCAACAGATGATGAAATGGAGACAAATAAGTTCTCTTCTCCTTTGTTCAGAATTCATATAATATCACAAGAACTACTAAGGTTGCATTTGGTTTTAGTTTACTGTTGAGAAATGGTGTTGCAGCTAGCTGAGTTTGGCAGCAAGGCTGAAGACAGATCAATAAGGTACCGTTTTTGCACTGAGGGAGGAGCATGTCGTTTGAAGCATTGTTTATTGTCGTTTTGGTCTCAAGTTATATTTACCAAGTGTCTTATTCACTTTATTTTTGTTACTGTTGCAATTTACTATTTCCCCAATTGTTAGGGATTTCATTGTCATTTTTTCTTTCAAATTAGGCTGTTTCTCTTGGTTGCTTAGTGTCTGTTATTGTGTCAAGGTATCTATCACAGATCCCTATGCGCCTGGAATATAGGAATACCAGCTCAGGTGTCTGTACAGCTGGTTCTTGCAAAAGTTTTCTTTTTCATCACCGATATTCTATACACTTGGCTAATGCTTAATGAAATGTGTCCTTCATTTTTCTCCCAATTCTTTTCTGTTCGTCTTTATTCTCTAGAAATTACTCAACTTTAAACATGGTATCAGTGCAGTATAACAGGTATTAAGGGATTGCTTCTTCCTATTTTAATTTAACCTCTCTTACCTGTTCATCCTTCTATCATATACTCTTTTCCTATGGCAACAGTCAGGTTTAACACATCAGCTCCACCAGTCTTCATCGGTGAGAATTATGCCATCTGGTCCGTAAAGATGAAGTCCTATCTCAAAGCATACTGCCTCTAGGATGTTATGGAGATTAGAGAAGAACCAGTACAAAGGCATGCTAATCTCACTCTAGCTTAGATTCAACAATTTGAAAAAGAAAAAGCTAAAAGGGATAAAGCTCCATCCTACTTACAATTTATAGTTTTAGATGAAATTTTTGCTAAGATTATGCATATAGATAATCCAAAGGATGCTTGGGATCATTTAAAGGATGAGTTTTTTGGTAGTGATAGGACTAGACAAATTCAATCTTTGAAACTTATGTAGTCAATTTGAGATACTTAGGATGGAGGATGATGAAGCCATTATGGAGTTTTCTAGAAAAATGATAACTTTAGTAAATCAACTGAGGCTGTTGGGAAAGGTAATTACTAAGGAGAGATTGATACACAAAGTGCTTGTAAGTTTTCCAAAAAAAAAAAATAGGTGCAAAGTTTTTTCTTTAAAAGATTCTGAAGACATTGCACAGCTCACCTTGAAAGAGCTAGTAAATGCTCTAGCGGGTCTTGAACAAAAAAGGGCATTTAGATAGAAAAATGTAGTTGATAATGCCTTGGTTGCTCAAACAAGAAATCTCAGGGTTAGTAGTAGTAGCACAAGGAAAAATGAAGCTGATAAGAAGGACAAGGATAAGAAATAGCTTATGGTAAATCTAGAAAATAGAAGTAGAAGTATCAACCTTGTCCTCACTGTAAGAAAACCACACATTCTACAAAAAATTTTTGGTACAAACCCAAAGTAAAATGCAAGGCCTGTAACCAACTTGGTCAAGTTGAAAAGGAATGTAAGAACAAAGGTCCTAAGGTTAATGAGAAAGCTGCAGTTGTTGAGTAGGTTGCAGAATATGATGAGGTCTTGTTTATGGATCGAGAAGTAGGTGAATCAGTCAAGAAAAGTTTGTGGTTGATTGATAGTGCTTGCTCAAATCACTTAACTGGTAATGAGAGTCAATTTGCTACACTTGAGAAGAGTTATAAGTCCAGAGTTGAGATTGGTCAAGGAAAGTTTCTGAAGATACTTGGTACAGGTACTATTGTTGTTGAAACACTGTTAGGTAACAAGTATATTTCAAATGTCTTTTTTATTCCTGAGGCTAACCAAAATCTGTTTAGTGTTGGACAACTTATTGAAAGTCACTATGTTCTCTTATTCAAAGACAAATATTGCACAGTGTTTGATCCTAAAGGCAATGAAATGCTTACAGTTGAGATGAGGAACAAATGCTATCCAATTCATTAGAAGAATATCGAATAAAAGGCCTATATTAGTGCCGTTAATGACTTAGAACTATGGAACAGAAGGTTAGGGCATGTACACTACAAGTCCTTATAGGAAATGGCTACTCAAGAGATGGTTGAGTGCCTACCTAAGATTACCAAGCTTGACTATTTGTGCGGTACTTGTCAATTTGGGAAATGGAGCAGAGTTTCATTTCCAAAGAATATGAAATGGAAAGCCACCAAGGTGCTACAATTGGTTCATATTGACTTAAGGAGACTTATGAAAATGCTCTTTCTTCCAAGAAGTAAGGTAGCATTTGGTGTGAGGGAAGTGGAAACACATTCTCTATAATGTGTCCAATTAAATTAAATTAAATTGTAGTATTTGTTTTACAACAGATCACTATAATGTAAAATTATAATACAATCATATTACAGCCAAAGAATGTAATGTGAGCGCAATTCAAAACCAATACAATCACATTACATTGCACTTTGTAATCTTTTTAAAGATATTTTTACTTTTCAACTTTATTACTTTGTTAAAAACATTTTGTAATGTTACAATTAAAATAAAAATATTAAAATAAAACATAAAATATAAGAATTAGAAATTAAAATAAAATATAAGAAATTAAAATTTATATAATATAGGTAAAAGAAATTTAAATAAAATATATAATATAAAAAATCATATTAAACAAATAAAAATAAAATATATAAGATTATAATAAGAAAATGAAAATAAAATATATGATATTAAACATATATTTAAGAGATGATATTATATAAAAATTAATAATAAAAAATATAAGTATATTAAATTTACATTTTAATAAATAGATGTAATTTTGAAAATTAACATTACATTTTCAACAAAGTACTTGTAAACCAAATGGTGCAATGTTATCTTTCTTGCATTTTAATTACTGTTTTGCTTATATACCAAACATTGTAATGTTATTTTTCTTGTAATCGCATTGCTTGTAATCACATCACTTGCAATTACATTACTTGTAATCACATTGTATTATTTAGTATTTATTAAATATTGTTGGATTTATTTTTTGAAGGTTAAGTCAGATGCATTGATGAACTTTGTTAAGTTCAGAAGCTTGGTCAAAAATCAAGGAAATACTACCATCAAGACACTCAAGAGTGACAATGATAAGGAGTTCATAGCTTCTGAATTTGAAAAATTTCTATCTCAACTTGGTATTACTCATCAGTTGACAACTACTTATAGCCTTCAGCCAAATGGAGTTTTAAAGAGGAAAAATAAGACTCTGATGGAGATGGGAAGGTGTTTGATGTTTTAAAAAGATTTACTCAAGATTTTCTGGGTAAAAGCTGTTAATACAACTAATTATGTATTGAACAGAACAAAGGCCAAATTTGTTACAGGTAAGACTCCTTTTGAGTGTTGGTTTGGCTTTAAACCTTCAGTATCACATTTGAAGATTTTTTACAATATTTGCTATGTCAAGACTCGAGATGTAAAAAAGATAAAGCTAGATGAGAAGAGTACTGTGACAATTCATATTGGTTACAATGAAGTTATAAAAGGGTATAAGCTATATAATGTGGTAACCAAGAAGAAATTGGTCAGTAGGGATATGAGGTTTGATGAGTATTCAGAGTGATATTGAGAAAAATCAGTTGTTGAAAACACTGAAAACTTAGATCTGATTCATGATGATGACTAGATTGAAGTAGATATTGAATACGAGAGCCTTGCTACCAAGTGCACAAGATCCTTGCAAGATATATTGAATATGTAAGGTGTAATATTTCCATTACTAAACCTACAAGTTACAATGAAGCTACTAGAGATGTTAGATGGGTGCAAGCTATGGAATAGGAGATGCAAATGATTAACAAAAATGGAACTTGGATATTGGTTGATAAACCATCAAATCAGCATATCATTGGAGTTAAGTGGATATACAAGACTAGACCAAATGTTGATTGGTTAGTAAACATGCTAAAAGCAAGGCTAGTAGTAAAGGGTTACTCTCAAATTTATGGAATAGACTATTGGGAGACACTTGTTCTAGTAACAAGGCAGGACCCTATAAGGCTGCTCACTACCTTAGCTCCTCGAGAAAGGTGAAAAATGTACCATTTTGATGTGAAATTTGCTTTCTTGAATGGAAATCTCTCTGAGGATATTTATGTTCAACAACCAGAGGGGTTCATCAAACCAAGGATAAAAAGGAAGGTTTACAAACCGGTGAAGGCCTTGTATGGACTGAAATAGGCTTCAAGGCTTGGTATGACAGAATTGACTCATTTCTCATTATTGAAGGTTTTCAAAAGAGTCAAAATGAGCTTGGTATATGTATGTAGCCATGCAGATTCTGTCAAGGTAATCATCTCCTTGTATGTTGTTGATTTATTGCTTATTTATTCAACTAAAATTGCCTTTCATCAAATCTAACATCCTTATTGATGAAAACTTTCTCTGACTTTACATCATAAATTCTATACCCTTTAGAAGCATCATTATAACCAATAAGGATCCCCAAAACTTAGGATATAATTTTGTTCTCTTTTCATTAAGAATCTTTGCATGGCACACAACACCAAAGGTTTTTAAGTATGAAACACTTGGTTTATGCTTATACCACATTTCAAAATTGTTTTTTTTCCTTTGTCAAAGCCCTTGTATAAACCAAATTCAAGATATGATTGGCTATGTTAACAACCTCTGCCCACAAACTCTTAAGCATAGCTAACTGAATTAGTAAACACTTTGCCATCTCCACTAAGGTCTTATTTTTCCTCTTCGACACTCCATTTTGATAAGCATTTTAGGGTATAGTAAGTTAATGCTTAATTCATTCTTTAGCTAACAACTTTTCAAACTATAATGCAATATATTCAGAACCATTATTAGTTTTTAAGGTCTTAATCCTTTTTTAAGAAAAATTTTCCACAAGAGTTTTGAACTTCAAGAACCAACCTAATGTCTCAGACTTCTGTTTTAGAAAATATACCAAACTAAACCTTGTCAAATCATCAATAAGCATAATAGAATACTTACTAAGATTCAGTGACAAAGTCCTCATGGGTCTACACAAATCAGTATGCACCACGCTAAGTTTCTATTTAGCATTCCAACTCATATGCTTTGGAAAAGACTTCTTGCTTTGCTTTCCAAACTAGCACACTGGACACAGTTTTTCAATTTTGCTAATATCTATTAACCATTCAAGTAATTCATTAGTAAACATTTTATTCAATGACTTGAAGTTAATATGACCAAGCCTCCTACACCATACTTCAATCATATCTTCTTCACCAACAAAAGCTTTATGTTAAGTATTTATTAAGTTCAAAAGGTACCACCTATTCCTCATTACAACAATCAAAATCTCAACTCTAGTAGGACCAAATATAGTGCATAATTCACCCTTGAACAGTAGTGCATAATTTTTCTTAGCTAGTTGACCAGCACTAAGTAAATTTTGATCAATTTCAAGAATTAAAACCACATTAGAAATATTTTTAATACCTGATACAGTCTTGATAGACAGTTCCTTTACCCAAAACCTTTAGATAGACTCTATTTCCAATCTTGATTCGAGTTATGAAACTTCTATCAAGATCTATAAACAACTCTTCTTTAGTTGTAAGATGGTTAGAACAACCACTATTTAACAACCACACATTTCTTTTATCTGAATCACCACTACTCTGGCCATGAATAACATTCGTCATCTTCTTCAATCTTCTCAACCATGGTAGCCTTGTTGTCCTCACCTTTTTTCTTGGGTTTGCAGACTTTTTCCACATTTCTAAGCTAATCACAAGCTTTGCACTTAACATAAAACATGTACCAACAATACTTAGGAGTATGATTAGTTTTCTTAGAATGAGTACATGGAGGACATTTATCCTTCATTTTTCCTTGCTTGCCACCTCCTGCTTTATTGTCTTTGTTCCTGAGCATTTCTAAGCCCTCACCTCTGACCCTTAAGCCTTTGGTTTGAACAACCAAAGCATGTCAATCAGATCTTCAACTTTAAGAGCCCTCCTTTGCTCTTGAGCAATCAAAGCATTAACTAACTCATTTATAGAGATCTTAGTCAGATTTTTGAAATCTTCCAAAGAGGATATTTTGGTTTCAAACCTCTCTGAATTACCAACTAGAATTTTATCCATTACTCTTTTCTTAGAGACTTCTTCCTCCAACATTCTAAGTTAAGTCACAAGTCTTAACAACTTATCATTATTCTCTTCAATATTCTCTTTTTCTCTCATTCTCAGCAATTCAAACTATCTAGAAAGATTTAATACCTGCATCACCTTAGTGTGATCATTCTTTTGGTATTCGTCCTTCACGCTATCCCAAACCTATTTAGGATCTTCATAAATCATAATCTTTGCAAATAGAACCGCAGACAAGACTAACTACAGACATATAAGAGCTTTATAATGTTTTGCTAGTTTTTAAGAATGTTGTTAAATTTAAGCCAACATGAGGTTGACATGCCTCTACATTAGAATTTCCCTAGTCTCAACAACATCCCAAAGGTCGAAGGCCTTGAAATCTGACCTATTTTCACAACCCAAAATTGATAATTGACACCATTAAAGATTGGAGGGGTTGAAGCACTAAAGCCAACATAGCCATATTCAGCTTACACACACTCAAGAATTTTGAAAACTAAGAACTAGAGAACAATTCACATGTCCTTTAAAAACAAGGGCTTTAATACAATGTTGAGTTTTAGAAATATTAGAGAAGGATTTTCTGGGAAAAAGAGAGAATAAACAAGAACATAAGAGAAATTGAAAAATCAAATTTAGGGAAAAGAACAAGCCAATTGCTCATCCATTGTATTTTTGTATTTAAACTATACAATGCATAGATGTAGCCACGAAAAAAATGGAAAACTCTTAAAATGTTGTAGATGAACTAAAAGCTGTGCATTGAGCACTATGTTTTCCAGCAGCTAACAGACTGATAACAAAGAATCAATATATTTCTTTTTGGAAAAAAAGTCCATTTTCTTTTCCGAAAATAAAAGGTTAACTCTCTTTGTTGCTGAAACTTGAGTTGTTCATAGGCTTGAACTTTTAACTATTTTTGCAAAAGCCCTTAACTTCCATCTCTTCTCATGTGTTCAGCCACATTTCCTGTTTGAGGAGCTCTTACACAATCCTACTACACTTAGCTGTAACCGCATTTTGCTTTGTTCATCAACAACACCGTCACAAGTTTTTGCTCTACATTCTGCCTTTTCACTAATATGAGGTTGGATTGCCGTCGATCTTTTGCCTTTATCCACCATTAGAGCTTGTAAATAGCTCTCCTTCTCTCATCCTCCTTACCAGCCACAACATGAAAGCTCTGTTTTTCACTGCCTTCTTGAAGCTGGGTCGGTCCCTCGTGATTCTCCATGCTTTGCCCAAAGGACCGTTTCCTCCGATACGCCTGTCCCGCGTCCAAATGACCTAAATTTACACCGATTTTGTAATCCAGAATCCACATACCGTTTCAGCTCCTCATAGCTTCAGTTGCTTCCCGTTTGGTTGTGTATCTGACAAACCCAATTCTTCTTCCTCTTTGGATCCTTTTTACCGTTATGAACACATCAGCCACTCTACCAAATTGTTAATAGGTACACGTACCCAGCCATTGCCAAGTGATCCTTGGTGGAAGATTATTGATAAAGATGGTCACCACCCGATTACTGTTGCCATGATACCCTTAGCTATCTCTGCTCCTCTTTAGCTCTCACCTCTATTCGTCATCACCTTTGCTTTCTTTCAAGACTAACACCGTTACACCACCTATAGCAAGCAAATTATGTCGAGACTTTTATATGCATTTGACTTGCCTCCTTATCAATCCTATTCTTTTCTTGTTCAGCAAAAGCTTGTTTAGAACTCTCCGTTTGTTTTCATATGTTGGATGGGTTAACATGGCAGAAAATAGGCACCACAAACTGTCCCCTGGTATGCCTGCATTCCAGTATCTTGGGGACTTCTTCCAAACGCCATGATGAAAAAGGCATATTCGTCAGAGAAAACGATTGCTGAAATAATTGATTCTTCAATCGCTTTCATCAGCGCCAGAGTAATTTCCTCTCCCCTTTGGACTTCTTCGAAATCAGCATAAGTTCCAATTCCAAAGCTTGACATAGACAGTAGAGGAAATTGTAGCGAGTGTCTTCACCTCTAAAACTCAAAAAAAACTTCACGTTTTGGCTGATGGGAGGAGACAGAGGCAGAAGCAGAAGCTGTGAAAGAGTTAGCGATAAAAGAAATAGATCGTATGCTTAGTTTGAGAGAGCAAAACAATGAATAGGGGATTTCTGAAGAAGAACTAATTAAACAACAAAACAACTTTAAGTTTGCTTTTAACGCATTTTTTACTTTGGCTTAATCTTCTAAAACACTGCAATAAAGTTAAATTTGGCAATGTGGATGAGAGGATAGCTCTGTTAGAAGAACAGATTGACTCTATTAACAAAATATGGGATACTAGAGATTTAACAGAGAAATAAACTAAGCTGAAAAAAAGTCAGATGCAAGAGCTGGAGAGTTGCCCGACATAGAGAATCATTATGGAGACAAAAATCACGGGTTAGACGGATATCCAAGGGAGATAAAACTACCAAATTTTATCATAGGAAGGCCAAGTAAAAATCACATTAGTGGTGTTTTTAGGGATGGAAAATGGATGGGAGATCTTAAGGAGGTGAAGGAAGCAACTGTTGATTGTAAAACCTAAGAAATTGAAGGAAGCAACTGTTGAATATTTCAAGAAACATTTCGTAAGTCACCCGCAATGCAGACCTCTCTTGTAGACATTGGCGGATCAAGGATTTTGTACAAGCAGTGGTTAAAAATTAATCATATACTATAAAAGATCAGGTTAATGATTCAATTTGAAATAAAAAATTAATCACTTTTGAAATGAAATAAAATTATAACATAAAATTTCATTAACAATTTAAACATAAATTTTCAAATTCACGAATATAGAAATATATAAAGTACAAAGAAAAATAAACGTTAAATCTCACATTAGATAAATTTATAACATAAAATTTCATTAACAATTTAAATATAAGTTTTCAAATTCACTAATATAAATAGATAAAGTAGAAAGAAAAATTAACATTAAATTTTCACATTAAGCAAATTTATAACATAAAATTTTATTAACAATGTAAATATAAGTTTTTAGATTCACCAATATAAATAGAGAAAGTAGAAAGAAAAACTGACATTAGATTTTCAAAAGGGAAAACATGGAAAAAAGGGTAAAAAGGAAAAGAAAAATAATTGAAAAAAAAATTAGGCACATAAAATTTTATTAACAATTTAAATATAAGTTTTCAAATTCACTAATATAAATAGAGAAAGCAAAAAGCAAAATTAACACTAAAATTTGGTAGACAGAGAAAGTAGGAAAAAAAAAGTAACATTAGATTTAAATAATTGGAAATAATTTTGAGCCTAAAAGGGACTGAACTCAGCCTTTAAAAACTGATTTAGATGACTTGCCATTGTTTCAAGCCAATTTATTTGATTTATCTTGAGGTGGTAAAATTATATATTTTAAATATTATAAACCTAAAAACAAAAGAAATTAAAAATTGATGGGTGGGAGCCGCCACCCCTCTCCCTCCGCCCGTTCTTGGGGATCTTGATTTTAACTGGTTAGAGCCATAATTGACAAATGAGCTGGGAGAGCCATCTACGAGAGAGGAATTGACGGCGGCTGTTTGGGATTGTGGTGCATCAAAGGCGCCGGGGCTCCATGGATATAATTTCAACTTCTGCAAAAAGATGTGGCCTTTGCTGGGTGAGAATTTGAAGGATTTCATTTCTGATTTTCATCACTGAGGGAAATTGGAGAATGGCTTAAATTCATCCTTTATAATCCTCATTTGGAAAAATAATTAATAATCCCACCTTTTAAGGAGTTTGGACCCATTAGTTTGATAAATTTCCTTTACAAAATCTTGGCAAAAATACTCGCAAATAGGTGAAATCAGATTGTCAAAGTGTCTCTATGAATGGTATTCTACTTGTCAGAGGTCATCGGCAGCATGTCTAAGAGGGTAGCATTGAAAATCGACTTCAAAAAGACGTATGATTGTCTTGATTGAAATTTCTTGATGACGATTATGAAAAAAAATGGGTTTTAGTGAGAGGTGACCGTTTTGGATTATGGAATGCATATCAATAATCCAGGTTGTAGTATTAATTAACGGATCGATAACAAAAAAATTTGTAACTTTTAAGGGTTTGAGACAAGGTGACTCATTGTCTCTCTTCCACTTTATCATAGTGGTGGAAACACTTCTTGTTCTATTACTCAAAGCCGAATTTGCTCACCTTTTCAGTGGCATCAGAATCTCCTCACCTCGGGACATTATGTCCCTCAAGCTTGAATTACCTCATTTGGTTGCACCTGCTAGGTGAGTGTGGACTGATCAACTACTGAAGCCATTTCTCTCTTTTGCCAATTGACTCACATACATACCAACCGACATGTGCCGAGATATTTGCTTAACATCATGTGGCCTTGAATTTTGAAATACACATTCACATTAAGAACACACCAAGATTCTTGAAGCAACACAAAAGCAGTAAAAATAAGAGGAAGAGAGAGAGCTTGAAAGTAAAGAGTATATATTCTCAACCTTGGTGTGCCTAAGAAATGACAAGATGAAGTATTTATAGGCTTGCTAGGCCTCCTCATCTAGCTATTTACAATTTGAATTCAAAATAAATGATATGGTTAAAGTATTCAAATTTGAATGATTATCCTATCTATAATATTCAAATTTGAATACATCAGCCAATAAAGAGTTTAAATCCATCAGGACTCCCCCAAGGGTGTATTGACACTTCTACCTTGGTACGCACCTGTTTGGGCTGCTGGCTTGCTAGTGTGCCTAGGTTGTCTGGTCTGAACTCTCGGATTCTAACATCATGCACCTGCCTCATTTGCGTTCCATTTGTAGTTTAAATTCTTCTCTGATTATTTATTTCTTGCTTCATTTCTCTCCTACTCTCCTTTGTTAAACTTTTTCAAGAACTTTGTATCCTATAGCATAAGATCAGATGCTTCAACGAAGATTACTGTTGTGTTCTTTGCACTTTCTTTTCTTTACTCTTTGCAAAATTACCTCTATCCTTCTCTTCTCATTGTCTCTAATCACTCTCTTTTCTCTATTTTTTTCTACTCTCTTTCTTAATTGTCTCATCTCACAGAACAACCATGGCCCCGCCACTGCCAGCCCTCTGGCTCCAAACACTATTTGCAATTCAGCATTTGCAGGAGCAGGAGAAGCTTGGACTCTCCTCAAAGCAGTTATCTTGATCTCTCTAAAGATTTTAAAATCCCTGTTTCTTTAGTGAATGATCCGTACGTCCAAACTTTGTACTGGGAAGTTGATGCTGTGCTTCATAGTATCAGGCGTCTTAAGAATCTCAACTCTTCATTCAGGTTATGTCATGTTTGTCGTGTAGGAATTGAATTATATATAGCATTGACTAGGGTTGCAAAAAAATACAAACTTCAATTCTTCCAACTAAGTCCTAACTCCCAACTAAATAATGGCATAAACAACTACTGCTTGCTGATATAAAATGTTCAAATCATTATTTGATAGATCACCAAAGTCCCACAAGTAAAAAGCAAGCTGTTCATTTTTTAATAGCAATTGACATTTTGGCAAGCATCCCTCAAATCATTATTTGATAGATCACCCAAGTCCCACAAGTTAAAAGCAAGCTGATCATTTTTTAATAGCAATTGACATTCTGTCAAGCATCCCTCAAGCTCTACTTGAAAACAAATAACTAGTTCAGCTACTAATGCACATTCAACTTTGCTCTGCGTTTGTTGGTGGGGGGATTGGCAGAGGTTCCTGCTATAGATGCTGATGCTTAATACTGATATTGAACCTATGCTTTATAATGAGAATTTTACATATATTTCTGAAACGTATAGTGGAGTGAGCAGCTTAGAAAGCTATCTATAAGAATTATTGGCTATTTTATATATATCACTATTTAGGTACAAACTACTTAATGGAAATAAAGTTTAAATATCTAATTGATAATTTTTAAATTTCAGATATTAAATCAACAGTTTCACTATAGTTTGGATACTAACTATCTAATTAACCAAGGTGAAAGATGTGAATAAAAAAAAATGCTCAATAATTGACCTGAGTGAGCAATGCAAAACATGCTTGAAAATAAAAATGATACTGATATGAAATATAACTAGAAAGAATTATCAGAAAAAGTATTTAAAGAGAGTAACAAGATTTTATTTTAGTGTCTTTACAAAAGAAGTGAGACAACCCTTTGAACTCTAACCCTAATCTAATTCAATCTAAAGGTTCAATTAACATAATGGATATTTATACATATATTCATAACACTTCTCCTTAAATGTCTATTCTATTAAGAATATGTCTTGTTAAAACCTTATTAAGAAAAAACCTCATGAGAAAAAGTTCAAGGGAAGGAAAAGAATACATAATTATTTTCAAAAATACACTTTTGAAATATTATTTCATTAAAAACCTTATCAAAAAAACCC